ACATTTAATAAAAAAAAAAAAAAAAAAAAAAAAAAAAAAAAAAAAAAAAAAAAAAAAAACCACCCCCGCCCCCGCCCCGCCGTGGGGGGGGGGGGGGGGGGGGGGGGGGGGGAATCCCTGCGAGGAGCGGTGACTGACAGTCACCGCTCTCTGCAGGGAGATGATCGAGAAGTCAGGGATCGGCAGCATGTGTTCGCTCACTTCCCGATCAATAGAGCCGACCTGTGACAGCTTCATTGTCACAGGTTGGCTTGAATTATGGGGATGAGTGTTTTTCACTCACCCCATAGTTCTCCTTTAACTATACTTATACAACTGTTTAAGCCAACTGTCATCCCTGCCCCCTCCAGTTTTAGCTATGGCCACCACTGGAAACCACTCAGATTAGCAGATGACCTCCTCCAAGTGTTGTGGACGGTCTACACTGAGTGATGCTATCAAACTCCACCGACCCAACGGGTCACACAGTACTGTGCATGTGTTGCTTTTTCTCCATAAGCCCTGATGGAGACCTTACCCATGAAGCCATAGAAAGTAAGCTACCAGTAAATCTGAATCAGAGAGTCTTTTCTGTGTAATAGGCCCTTAGGCTGGACTTTTTCTTTTGAGAGTTCAAAATGCAATACAAGTTCTTTTAAAAAAAACATAATTGTTCCTTATAACTGTAACCTACCAATGTTGGCTTCTGCCAGGATAAGATATACGGGCACTAGTTCCACCGATGTCAGCCCGTGTACATCTATACTGAATGACAGAGCATGGGTGGCTGCTGGAATGACATCTACATGGCGTCCTTCATACAAGAGTCTGTGAGCTTCCTTTGTGGTCAGGTCAATCAAGTGTTTCTGCAAAGGGAAGAAGATTTACTGAACTTACTGTCTGTTAGTCTATGGCGGGGGTTGGCAACCTTGGCACTTCAGCTGTTGTGGAACTACAAGTCCTATGGAGCATTGCAAGACTCTGACAGTCATAGGCATGACTTCCGGCGGCAGACCTCCTCCAGAACAGAACATACAGGGGTACAGGTACTCTTAATTACTGGAATGCACGGACACTCATAACCACACATACACACATGCTCACATTTGAACTCGATGGACTTGTGTCTTCATTCAACCTCAAATACTATGTAACTATGTATGATGTAGTTTCATCACAGCTGGCATGCCACGGTTGCCTACTCCTCTTTTATGCATATCAACTACCCCACCAAACAGCTAAATACAATGTTGAAACACATACACTGAGTGGCCAGTTTATTATGACCACCTGACGTTTGTAGGCAAATTAGCTATAATTTTGCGCTGAAGTTGCTAGAGGGCCAGACCATTATAAATAGGGAAGCAGGTTGTTTACCACGACAGTAGAAGTGATTTGTTTCTGAAGATATGGGGAAACAACGCGATTTAACAGCCTTTGAACGTGGGATGATTGGTGGTGCTCGGAGCCATGGAGCGAGTATCAGCAAAACAGCAGAATTCGTTAAATGTTCAAGAGCAGCTGTTGTTAAAGTGTTTAAAGACCGGACTGTCAGCCGAAAATCTGGGTCTGAACGTGCGAATTGTGGCCGTCAGCAACTAGTCAATGTTAGGGCAGAACGGAGAGTGGCAAGACTGGTACAAGACAACAGAAGGGCAACAGTGCAGTGTCAGATTCCTTGCATCACCTTTCAACATCTCGTGGAGTCACAAGGCGGCCCAACAAAGTCATCTCGTGGCCCAACGAAGTACTGATGGGGTGGTCATAATAATCTGGCCACTCAGTGTATATAGGAAGTGTTTTTCTGCCAGTGGTGCACCACAAATGCATGGCATGACCCTGCAGACCCCACACTAATGCTCCTGCTGCTGCCTCTCCTTCTACTGCTAATCAATATACCCACCCCATTGTTCTCTTCCATCTGCAAGCTCACTCTAAGGCTAGGTTCACATGTGAGTGATCCTGAGACGCACCATCGTGTTCGAGTGCACAAAGCGATTTCAATGGGGTGACATCCGCTCGGCAATCGCAAAAAAAAAAGGTACAAGTACCTTTTTTACGACACACGACACGCTGCTTTTTTAGTGTTCCATTGCACAAGCGGTATCGAGGTGGGAAACCACGAGATCTGCCCGGCAAGACCGGGGTGCCATTACAAAATAAAGGCACCGCCAGCGTGATCAGCAGTGGTGGCCAATTCTGTGGCCGCGCGGTTTTGTGCACGATTGCTGCTCGGACACGGATCGCCCATGTGTGAATCTTGCCTGAGTTCCTCCCTCCTGTAAGCCCATCTAAGCACACGCCACCCATCAGTTTGCGGAGTACGCTCGCTTACTGCAAGACTGATCTCATCTTCCAGCTTTCAGAGACAAATCATTACATAGATTGCTTTCATTTACTTACACTGGCTGAATGATAAATGATTTGTATGACACTGGAAGGAATACAGCGGTGACTGAAAAGGGGTGTTTATAGACAGCATTGGGCTGCAGCTGTGCTTCAAGGAGATCTATTTACTCCACATGCTTCTTCACTACTAGGAAATACAGTTACAGCAAAATACAAAAATAGAGACAAATAAACGAGAGGAAATAATAAATGGTACGATCTCCGTTTCCTGTACAATCAGACACACACACATAGACTGAACGATCTCCGTTTCCTGTACAATCAGACACACACACATAGACTGAACGATCTCCGTTTCCTGTACAATCAGACACACACACATAGACTGAACGATCTCCGTTTCCTGTACAATCAGACACACACACATAGACTGAACGATCTCCGTTTCCTGTACAATCAGACACACACACATAGACTGAACGATCTCCGTTTCCTGTACAATCAGACACACACACATAGACTGAACGATCTCCGTTTCCTGTACAATCAGACACACACACATAGACTGAACGATCTCCGTTTCCTGTACAATCAGACACACACACATAGACTGAACGATCTCCGTTTCCTGTACAATCAGACACACACACATAGACTGAACGATCTCCGTTTCCTGTACAATCAGACACACACACATAGACTGAACGATCTCCGTTTCCTGTACAATCAGACACACACACATAGACTGAACGATCTCCGTTTCCTGTACAATCAGACACACACACATAGACTGAACGATCTCCGTTTCCTGTACAATCAGACACACACACATAGACTGAACGATCTCCGTTTCCTGTACAATCAGACACACACACATAGACTGAACGATCTCCGTTTCCTGTACAATCAGACACACACACATAGACTGAACGATCTCCGTTTCCTGTACAATCAGACACACACACATAGACTGAACGATCTCCGTTTCCTGTACAATCAGACACACACACATAGACTGAACGATCTCCGTTTCCTGTACAATCAGACACACACACATAGACTGAACGATCTCCGTTTCCTGTACAATCAGACACACACACATAGACTGAACGATCTCCGTTTCCTGTACAATCAGACACACACACATAGACTGAACGATCTCCGTTTCCTGTACAATCAGACACACACACATAGACTGAACGATCTCCGTTTCCTGTACAATCAGACACACACACATAGACTGAACGATCTCCGTTTCCTGTACAATCAGACACACACACATAGACTGAACGATCTCCGTTTCCTGTACAATCAGACACACACACATAGACTGAACGATCTCCGTTTCCTGTACAATCAGACACACACACATAGACTGAACGATCTCCGTTTCCTGTACAATCAGACACACACACATAGACTGAACGATCTCCGTTTCCTGTACAATCAGACACACACACATAGACTGAACGATCTCCGTTTCCTGTACAATCAGACACACACACATAGACTGAACGATCTCCGTTTCCTGTACAATCAGACACACACACATAGACTGAACGATCTCCGTTTCCTGTACAATCAGACACACACACATAGACTGAACGATCTCCGTTTCCTGTACAATCAGACACACACACATAGACTGAACGATCTCCGTTTCCTGTACAATCAGACACACACACATAGACTGAACGATCTCCGTTTCCTGTACAATCAGACACACACACATAGACTGAACGATCTCCGTTTCCTGTACAATCAGACACACACACATAGACTGAACGATCTCCGTTTCCTGTACAATCAGACACACACACATAGACTGAACGATCTCCGTTTCCTGTACAATCAGACACACACACATAGACTGAACGATCTCCGTTTCCTGTACAATCAGACACACACACATAGACTGAACGATCTCCGTTTCCTGTACAATCAGACACACACACATAGACTGAACGATCTCCGTTTCCTGTACAATCAGACACACACACATAGACTGAACGATCTCCGTTTCCTGTACAATCAGACACACACACATAGACTGAACGATCTCCGTTTCCTGTACAATCAGACACACACACATAGACTGAACGATCTCCGTTTCCTGTACAATCAGACACACACACATAGACTGAACGATCTCCGTTTCCTGTACAATCAGACACACACACATAGACTGAACGATCTCCGTTTCCTGTACAATCAGACACACACACATAGACTGAACGATCTCCGTTTCCTGTACAATCAGACACACACACATAGACTGAACGATCTCCGTTTCCTGTACAATCAGACACACACACATAGACTGAACGATCTCCGTTTCCTGTACAATCAGACACACACACATAGACTGAACGATCTCCGTTTCCTGTACAATCAGACACACACACATAGACTGAACGATCTCCGTTTCCTGTACAATCAGACACACACACATAGACTGAACGATCTCCGTTTCCTGTACAATCAGACACACACACATAGACTGAACGATCTCCGTTTCCTGTACAATCAGACACACACACATAGACTGAACGATCTCCGTTTCCTGTACAATCAGACACACACACATAGACTGAACGATCTCCGTTTCCTGTACAATCAGACACACACACATAGACTGAACGATCTCCGTTTCCTGTACAATCAGACACACACACATAGACTGAACGATCTCCGTTTCCTGTACAATCAGACACACACACATAGACTGAACGATCTCCGTTTCCTGTACAATCAGACACACACACATAGACTGAACGATCTCCGTTTCCTGTACAATCAGACACACACATAGACTGGACGATCTCCGTTACCTTCCTCTGTAATAACTGCTCTGCAGAATGGACCCTCTCTTCTGCTGAGGTCAGGAACAGGACGGCTGTCCGCACAGGGATGAGGAGCTGGCATATCTTCTCATGAATACTAGTCCAGTCGGCCTGCTGGTGGTCCACATCGCTGGTTACCAAAGAAACAAAATATTCAGCTCTAAATCTGAACTCTCTCTGCATCTAACGCACAACACAACCTGCAATACCGATCTGGAAGAATGGCCATTTCCAAGAAAGAAAAAGACAATGCAGAAAACAAACACAGCACACCGATAATGCACTTCAAATGTTTATTGAGGTCAAAGCGCAACATATCATCCGCCAGAGTTTTGGGGCCATGGGGGACCCCTTTCTCCAGGGGGTACAAGGTGACAAAGGCAAAACAATATTCTACAATTACAAAATAAAACTGGGATTTGGGACTTCCATGGTGGTGATCACTAAGGGCGCAGACCACCGCACACCAATGCAAAAATAATATATCCCAATTTATTTATTTTTTGTTAAAATCCTGTCACTGCTTAAATAATAATAATAATAAAAGCAGTAGTGATGATAATAATAATAATAAAATAATACTATTCTCATTATTATCATCACTATTATTATTATTACTAATGTTGTTACTATTATTATTTTTATTATCTACACTGTTGCTGTTATTATTATTACTAGGGATGCACCGATGCCAAGTACAGTTAGGGTTGCCACCTGTCCAGGATTCACCCGGACAGTTCGGGTTTTGACTGATGTGTTCGGGTTTTATGGCAGCAGAAACCCGGACACAAGATATCAGGCACACAAGAGAAACCAAAATTAAGATAGGGGCTACTGGCCCCCCACTGAAAATAGTCTCAACATTGATAATTACATATGAAGGTGTGGCACTATTTACATATGAAGAAGCCGCAACTCATTCTTCCAAGAAAATTTCCGCGTGACGCTAGAGTGTTCGGGTTTCGATGGAAGAAAAGGTGGCAACCCTAAGTACAGTACTCGGTACAAGTACAGATACTTTTCCAGCTCCAGGACTAGACTAGAGGAAAATTCAAAAGTTAGGAGGCAGCTGTCATTTGTAAGGAGCATACGGAGCTTCTGGGATTTGTACATCTCTGTTTTAATGATTTTGTTTTTATAAACATAAATAAAGGGATGCACAGATACCATTTTTCCAAGTACAAGTACTGATAGTTGCTTAAAGGAGGACTATGGGGTAAGTGTTTTTCCCCATAGTTCTCCTAAGGGTCACGGGAGGACATAAACTAGCGTCCTCCCGTGACCCAAAGCTCAGTATATTGCGAGCTACAGCTCGCAGTATACTGAGACCACCACAGCCGGGATGGATCCTGACATTACTGTCAGAGGCGTAACTAGAACCTTCAGGGCCCCGGTGCAAGAAACCATTAAGGGCCACCCCCCCTCCCCCCAGCCGCCATGGCACCGCATGGTTAACAGAAAGGCTGACGAGGTCCCCAGCAAGAAGAAGGGCTTAGGAGGGAAGTGGAAGGTCCCGGGGGGGGAGTGGAAGGTCCCAGGGGGGGAGCGGAAGGTCCTAGGAGGGGAGCGGAGGGTCTCAGGAGGGGTAGCGGAATGTCCCGGGAGGAACTGTTGAAATCCACCCATCTGCGTGAGTGACAGCTGGCTCTGCCTATCCAGAGGCAGAGCCAGCTGTACCCGCCCCATCAGTTTCACCAGTCAGCGCTGGAGGATCGGAGCGGGGAGGAGGGGAATCCCTGCAGGTAGCAGTGAGTGACAGTCACGACTCTCTGCAGGGAGATGATGGAGAAGTGAGCGAGCGCCGGTATGTGTGTGCTCACTTCCCGATCTCCTGAGCCGACGTGTGACAGTCTCATTGTCACAGGTCGGCTCAAACTATGAGGCTGAGTGAAAATCACTCACCTCATAGTTCTCCTTTAAGTCCTCACAGATACAAGTACTGATGCATTTTTGTTTAGTGTCATGTGACAGTTTTTCTAAAACAATGAAGCCTAATGATTTCAGGACAGTGGTGGAGCACCAGAGCCAGGTCCCAGCTGCATTTGGACGCACGGATACGCCGACATGAACGATCCCATACATTGCTATGGGGACCGTTCATGCGACCGCGTGGGTCCGCCACGATCTGAAACTCCCCCGCCCGAACTGCTCCCTATTTTTGCCGTGCTGATCAGTGCAGTTTCCATAAAGGTTTCAATGGAACCGCGCTGATCAGTGCGGTTTTTGGGGTTTTTATTTGCGTTTCAGCGTTGAAACGCAACTAAAAGCTCCCCAAAACTCCCTTGCGAGATCAGTGTGGTAGCCGCGCTGATCCACAACCGCCCTGGTGTGAATGAGCTCTAAAGGAAATTGTACAATCAGATCGTAAGGTGTGCAGTAAGCTTAAAGGAGAACTATGAGGTGAGTGCTTTTCACTCACCTCATAGTTCTAGCCGACCTGTGACAATGAGACTGTCACAGGTCGGCTCAGTAGATCGGGAGGTGAGAGAACACATACCGGGTTCGCTCACCTCTCGATCCTGTCATGGCTCTCTGCCGTGACAGGGGGAGGGGCTGGATTCCCCTCTCCCCGCTCCGATCTGCCAGCGCTGACTGGCGGAACGGACGGGGGAGGGGGCGGGTACAGCTGGCTCTGCCTCTAGATAGGCAGAGCCAGCTGTCACTCACGCAGCTGGGCGGATCCCGTCGTCTAAGGCCCCGTTCACATATAGCGAATTGTCGCGCGATTTCCGCCGCGATATCGCGCATTTTTGCCGCGCGATATCGCGAGAAGTCGCCGGCCAATGTTATTCAATGGAGCTGTCTTAACTCCATGTCGCGCGTCGCTCGTCGCGGTCGCAAGTCGCTTCTACCGGACCCTTTTTTCGGCGGATTTTGCGCGATTTTGCTTTTTTTCTATGGAGCCCGACGGGGAAGGTCGCGCTACCGTCGCTGGAACGTCGCCCCGAAAGTCGCGCTATCCCGGCCGTGCGGATCCGCTGCAAAAGGTATGTCGCTATATGTGAACGGGGCCTAAGTCGGGATCCGCTCCGGCTGCGGCGTCTCAGTATACCGCCAGCTGTAGCTCGCGGTATACTAAGCTTAGGGTAACGGGAGGACGCTAGTTTGTGTCCTCCCGTTACCCTAAGGAGAACTATGGGGAAAAACACTGACCCCGTAGTTCTCCTTTAACTGTGTAAACTAGTTTTGGATGCTGACAGATGAAACAATGTAATACCGGGGTAGGTAACCTCAGCACTCCAGTGGTGGAAATACAAGTCCCATAAGCCATTGCAAGACTCCAACAATCACAGGCAGAGGTGTGATGGCATTATCATACCCTGATATAGAGCAATACTTAAAAACATTAAAATTGAATCATGGGAACATTTTCTTGCCTGGGACATGCTCAGCTATGTGTCTCTGTTCATACCTTCACGTTCCATGAATGCGTGCAAAATGCGAGCATTGACGTGTATTCACGGAACCCGTAAAAAATGTGCATCGCGCTTGTGGTGCCATTACTTATTAACGGCACTCCAAATGCGGGTGGGAATACTTGCACTTTTCCGGCGCATTGACGCACGTTAAACACGTGGTGAAAAAAATGCAGTATGCCTGTAATAGAATCTGCTGCATGAGCTACTTTTCAGCGTTTGTCGCACGTGCAGAATCCATTGAAACCAAAAGCAGGAAAACATGAACGCAAACACGCATGAACGTTCGCAACCGCGAAACCTGTTCATGGAATTTGAAGGTGTGAATTGGGAGTAAAAGCAACAGGCACGACTCCCTGCACTGTGCAATAACATGGGCTGAATGCATGGTTCCCATATGCTTAGTGCAACGCTATGGTGCCCTTAGTGCATCGGGAGACCCATAGAAGTCAATAACTAGTGCATGCAACATGCGTTTCAGTGCATTGGCAACATGCGTTTCATAAATCTTTGTTCAATGATTGTTACCTCTATCCACTCCAAATACTCACGTAATAAAAAGCATTGGGAACACGCGTCAATAAATAAAGGAAGCGTGTGTGACACATGACATAACGCTCTACTACCCACACGCATAAATCATAATGGGCACCTGGAAGAAGCTTTTTGCTACTCAGCCACCATAGTGATCTGCAAAGGAACATTCACAGGAGGCATACGGAGGTGGCTGTCACTCGGCACTTGAAAATACTAGTTGCCTGGCTGTCTCTGGATTCTATAGTGAGTATCTGATCTGGATCAATCTTGTGGATTAGGAAGCATGAAGCCAGAACTCTACACCTGCATACTTGAATGGGATTAGCATGACAGCCAGGCAGCTAGCATTTACAGAAACAAAGTCAGCAATGGACAGCTTGCATTTGTCCAAAATCAACCCGATCAGATGCAGCAACTATAGCAGCAGCTCCTGCTTGTCATGTGCACACCATGGGAGCATGCCTGTGCAATGCTGGCTGCCTGCTCTGTACATACCAGTAATAGGTGACCTTGCAGTCAGGGCACTGGATATAGGCCGGGCTGTGGCACAGCTCACACGACAGCTTCACCCCTTTGGGGTTGGATAGAGGGTTCACAGCCGCCATTTAAGATGCCCAGCGATCAGGAATCACACCCAGAGCGGCCTGGCTCGTCGTTGCTATGGACGCGCAGATTGGTTGTTAGGGAGTCTGATGACGCGCGCCCTCTGGTGGAAGCACATGGAGTGACCGGCTGATGATGAATGGATTGCAGGGTTGATGGTTGGGTAGCTCTTCAGTTACACATTCCAATCATTGCTCCAGCCTTCTATTATAAACAAATACAATACAAAACGGATAGATCTGTGGGTATTTTTATTTGTTAGATTAATTTAGAATTTCCAACTGTACATGGCAAATAAATTCATTAAAGGTACGACACAAGGACGCCGTTTGAGCTTACATTACTATTTTTTAAAATATATTATTGATATGTGCTTATCCTAACCCTTTTGTTGCCAAGGCGTTTTCATGTTTTTGCACACATGTTACAATCCACATTTTAGGCCTGAAAATTACTCCCCCCCCAGTCACATATTTACTCAAAGCACAGACCCTGTAGAATAAAATGGCGGCACTTACACCTTTTTATGTCGCATGATATTAGCACAACTCTTTTTGAACCCCAAAATTTCAGTCAAAATTACATTTGAGTTACTTTTAGTGCACAGAAACACAACGTAATACCCATTTTGTTTGTAAAATCTATTAGATGATATAGGTTACAACGAGTAAATAGATATCCAACATGCCAAGCCTAAAAATTGCATGCGCCTGTGACAAAATATAGTACCTCAAAAAAACCTGTACAGGTCATCAGTTTAGTGTTAGCCATGAATATTGGCCTTAGAATGATTGATTTCACTCTGACGTAAGTGGCGATACCCAACATGTGTAGCGCAATCGCTGTTTTAGTACATAGGTGCACTCGATAAGTGTTTACGTTACTATGCGCACATTCATGGGGGACATTAAAATTATATTTGTATTTTTACATTTGTTTTATTTTACATTTTTTTCTTAAACTTTACTTCATTGCTTTTACATAGGGGCCTACAAATCTCCTCTGTAATAGCATAGTAGTGGTGACGGTTACTTTTTAGGGTGACATTATGAGTCTATTAAGGTGGCCATACACTGTACAACAGTGTACGATCTGCCTATCTTGGACAAGCAGATCGTACTTGCGATCATCGCAAGCCCGCCCCACTGAGGGGCGGGCTTCCGATGACTGCAATGCTGAACGGGCAGTGTGCTCGTGCGCACACCGGCCCGTTCGGCAGTTGTCGAACAAGCAAGCCACTAACCCGCCGAGAATCATACGATTCTCGGCGGGTTTTCCAGCCTGCTTGTTCGACGGAAGACGTGCGATCGTATAGTAGAAACGGTTATTATTTGTTTTCATTGCAGGGATGATTTTATTATGTTTTGAAAATATTGAATGATTTGGCTACTTCACACCATCCTGAATGCATCCTGGCCTGATTGTGGCCTGAGGCGCCTGAACGCACTGGTTCGCATTTCGGCCGGCTCACTTTGTTTTGGGGCGGGAGGGGGCGTGGTGGTGCATTGAACTCAATGCCATCTCCAGCCCCACTGCGATCGGCCGCATGGGAACCCAAGGCACATCAATACCTGCGGTCCGGTCCGAAAAAATGCTGCAAGCACTATTTTTTCTGACTGGACTGGAACGCAGGCACCGATGTGCCGTGCGTTCCCGTGCGGCCAATCGGATTGCGGGTGGAGGACGTGACTGCGGAGCCATTGAGTTCAATGCACCGCCACGGCCCCTCCCGCCCCAAAACAAAATGAGCCGGCCAGAATGCGATTCAGCGCGTTCCGGCCGCAATTGGGCTGGAACGCACCGAGGGGGGTGTGAACTAGCCCTATGGCCCCGTTCACAACAGGGCCAAGTTTAGTTGCACATTTGTTTCCGCCCTGAAACACATGCAAATCAATACCCCATGTATTCCCCATGTATTCCAAACCTTGTCAACTCTTTTCTGCCTTCAAGTCCAGAGCCAGCATATGTGTAGCTTCAACACCAGAGCCAGCATATGTGTAGCTCCCATATTATCCTCTTCACTGGTAGACATAAAAGAGGCGAGTATGGGAGGAGTGGACAAGGGAGCTGGAAAGCAGGAGGTCAATGGATGAGCGGAGGGGACGGTTAGGGTAATACTTTGAGACAAGGTCTGCGATATATCCGGGGGCAGAGTTGTGGATGGTTTTATAAGTGACTGTTAATATTTTGAATTTTATAGTATATATATATATATAAAATCTGCAGTGTTTTACAGATGTGTGCATTGTTGCCCTCTAGTGGCCATTGGAAGGTGTATCATCTTCATTACAGTCTATGGCAAGCACACAGTAAGAGGGAATTTATCAAAACTGGAGCAGACAAAATCTGGAGCAGCTGCGCATGGCAACCAATCAGCTTCTCTCTTTCATTTTCAAACCTTGACTGAACAAACTGAAGATAGAAGCTGATTGGTTGCCATAGGCATTTGCTCCAGTTTTGATAAATTCCCCCCACTGGGTTTTTATTGTACTCGTATTCCTAAAACCAATTGTTCTCGTGACTTCACAGCTGTCACATATTTGTTGTTTCCTTATGATTATAATTTATATACAGATAGCTGCAATGCATATGTGATTATCAAGGAAGATTGTAAGCTCTCACAGGCAGGGCCCTCCTTACCACCTTGTCTTGATTTGTATTGTAACCCTAATGTCCTCCTTATGTTGTAAAGCGCTGCGCAAACTGTTGGTGATATATACATCCTGAATAATAATAAAAAAGACTTTGAACAGGAACCAAGCAGGGGTTTAACAACAATTCACGAGGGTCCCATAGCAAAATGTTGATGGGATCCCCGGGAACATCTCTCTGTGACCCCTTGTAATGTAATTGATACTAACATAAAGCAGATCTAAATGAAAGGCAGGCAGCCGGAGAGATGTTCTGTATGCTGCTAGGGACCGGAGCTGTGGATAAAAGCTGCTAGGAGAAGAGCAGCAGAGCAAGAAAGTAACCTTTAGGGTCCGTTTACATCCTGACATTGCTGTAACAGGCATGTTATCATGTGAGTTACTACGCAGCAACACATGTAACATCTGGGTTATAGTGCCACTCATTTGCAATGGCACAGCAACACGCTAAAGCAATGCACCTTCGCATCAGCACGCCACAATGCACTGTACTGCAATACCCAGGAAGGGTCAGGTCTTATTTTCTTTCATGTCAATGGGCTGCCTTGACACAACACACAATAACATGCAACATAGTGCCCATGAACACACTGCAAAGATGTAAATGGGCCCTAAACCTTCAAGGGAATCTAAACATAGAAAACAAATTGTGTGCAGGATTTTAATTACAAATATTTAGCTTCTGTAATAATAATTAAGTATACACCGCTACCAATACTAGTATCGGTATCACTGCCGATAACCGAGTATTTGGGCGAGTACTCGCCCAAATGCTCCGATACTTCCTGTATCAGGAAGCCGGGCAGCGCGTCATTACATGCTGCCCGGCTTACTGATTGGCCGGGAAGCCGGCTCCATGCTCCCTCGTCACTTGTGATGACGCGCTGCCCGGCTTCCTGATTGGTCGGGAAGCTGGCCAAATCAGGAAGCCAGGCGCCGTGTAATGACGCATCTCATGACGAGGGAGCATGGAGCTGGCTTCCCGGCCAATCAGGAAGCAGGGCGCTGCCTCATTACACGGCGCCCGGCTTCCATGATTGGCCAGCAACCCGGCTCCATGCTTTCTCGTCACATAGTGACGAGAAGCATGGGACGGCTTCCTTGTTAATCGGGAAGCCGGGTGGCGAGTCTTTACACGCCGCCTGGCTTCATGGCTAATCAGGAAGCCAGGTGGCTAGTCCTTACACGCTGAATGGGACTTCCGGTACTCGGTATCGGCGAGTACCGAAAAATATATATATCGGTATCGGTGCATCCTTAATAATAATTCTGGATTCTTTCCTGCCTGCCCACCATCTTCTTTAGAATGTAGACTGAGCTGTGCATCCCAATGTACATCCTTGGCACGCTTCGGTGCCGGTGTTCTGTCGAGAATGCCGACCCAGTTGAATTTTCCGACCTCACCATCTGCGCTTGTGCACAGACGGCATTAACAAGGAAACAGGGATTTATTTATAAAGTATTAATTTCTAATTGTGACCATTGATAATATGCCATCCACGGCAGTAAATGAGGGATGGCATTATTATGTAATTGCTTACGATATTAATTATGAATGTGCATAAAAAGCCAGCCATCATTTACTTCCATGGATGGCACATTATCAACGGGCACAATTAACAATTAGAAATGAATGCTTTGTAAATTCCTGTTTCCGAGTTAATCCTGGTGTGTGCGCAAGCGCAGATGGTGAGGTCGGCAAATTCGACTGGGCCAGCGTTCTAGATAGAACATTGGAATGAATGGACTTCCATGTGCATGTGCAGGAGTTTTGTCATTCCCCAACACAGCCAAAGACCTGGCACCTGGAAGAAGAAATCGATGTTGGAGCCAACGAGGGGAGGTGAGTTAAGTTCTTTAATTCTCCGAGGTCGCCCAAGCCTGTGCAAAACTGTCAGTGACACATCCCCATTCCAGCCCAATCAGCTGCGGCAGGGGCCTCGCCTACCACAAGTCACTCATTAGGCATTTTTATATCTTCAGGAAAGCTGTTAGGCACACAGGGTTGAGAGCCCGTTCACACCAGCCAGTTTGATGACTTCATAAAAGCATTCCAAATGCATAGAATGCATGTAAAAACACATTGCAATGTATACGAAAACTCAATGCATTGGAAAACACATGCCAACCCAGGTAAACATAAGAGCACTTCCTGTGTGTTTGGTGAGAACCCGCACTGATTACCTGAAATTCGAAAGGCAATAAATCTACAGATGTGTGAATGCATAGGGGATCTGTGACTTGTAGTCCATTCATTCATTCAGAAAGAGTCTGCAGGAGCCAGAGTATTGCACCAGAATGTGCTGGACCCTTAGCTTACCCTTACTCCTGGAGTACAATATGACATGACATCAGCACCACTCTCTGCATCAATATACTGTGAGGGTAGGCCATACTAAGGGGGTGGGA